CCAACAAAAATAAAAGTGAGAAAGGGATACCGGCACTCAGACTAGAGCCTAATAAACTAATCAATCAAGAGCACAAAAGGCAAGGAACGGCCCACAAAACGATTCTTAGCTCCTGACCTGCATGTATTCCTCCTTGATATACATACCAAGGATGTACAGATCAAGCCTGACATTGCAGCCATGGAAGTAATTCTGAAGCATGCCGTGAACTGAACCATTAATTGCCCACTGCATAAGCAGCGACCAAAACTTGGATCGATCATTCTTAACAAAAGAAAAGAAAAACGATTAGTGTGTTGCAGTTTGAGATTCAACAATGGAACTCCAAGAAGATCCAACTGTTCTCTTTAGTTACTGATGATGATAACCAAGTATGTAAATACATCTTGAGAGATGTTCAGTAAGGGTGATTCTATGCTGGTGGAAAGCAGAGGATGGATGTACTCTTGCCTATAGCAATACAAATAGGCAGCCAAACAAACCAACGTTGACCATTCGAAAATTAAAAACAAACTGTGGTTGCAGTTTGAAACAAACACAAATCGTTTTCGGTACTCCTGAACCCCAAACACTTTCTTCAAAAAGATATTGCAGTAAGCCGGCATTCAGGCTCTCAAATCACCCATGGCACCAGCACCAACATGTATGAGCAGCACCACATATACTTAAATAATAAAGAACATTTCCTTAACTAAGCTCTGGTCATTGTCCAACTAATCCTAATTTACTCTAAAAAATGGACAACCCTGCATCTCAAAGTGCAGCTTCGTGCCACCCATTATCAGGGGGCAGTAGAAATCTGGCCCCTGCAACCTGCTTCAGCATACTAGCTAGTACAAAAATCCTAATTTATGATGTTACCTGCTACTTAGTGTGTATCTTAAATCATATTTTGTTTCCAAATGTTCTCCTTAGTTGTTACTGAAACTTCAGCATGTATATCTTCAGAAACATGCAGTAGCAGTCATGCTCTGCTGGAGTGCTGGTAAGAGAAAGCAGAGGATGCTACTCCAATGACCACAGAAATTGGCGAAAAGACAATTTGATTCCTCTCAATAATCAACAAGAAGGCAAAACTGAACGCCACCGATGTGGATGGAAATGTAATGTACCCTCTCAACACCCCACACCTCAAATCTGCATGATAATCAAAAGGCAGGCAAATGCAGTGCCGTGATCATATTCCAGAATTGGTTGCAGTTTGAAACAATCAAAAGGCAAAACACAAACACAAAATGCTATTATGAACCCAGCAAACCAAACAGTCTTCTCTAGCTATAAGTACTGTTCTCCTCTGTTTAGTTCTGAATTAAACCTGTTAATCCAGAAACCTCACCCAAACAGATAATTACTTACTAATAAGAGCTGCAATAATTACTTCAATAAGGGTCTGAGCCATGCATAAAAAAAGTCATGAAAGGTGGCCCGAACCCCAACGTTCTAAATTAAAGCTTCGGGCAATAATTACGTACTAATATGAGCTGCAATCATCATAGCATAAAATTAAGTCTGAGTCATGCATACTGATTAAATTGTTCCATCAGAATACTTAAAAAGCAACCTAAAAGGGCCACCTTTGTTTACTATGCCACAATCTGGAAGACGAAAAGAAGAAGCAGAAAATCAAACTGTTTCCTAAGTTTCTACTGAAGCCTTTTTACTGGAAATCAAGCCGAATTGTTTGATTAATTCAGATTCATAAGCCTGTTGCTGCATCTATACTGTAGTAATGCACATAATATAGTAGCACTTAACCCACCCCAACAGCTATGAAATCAGTCACAGTATCCATCACAATGGGATGGAAGGCATGAACCACACTGGTGGCGACCAGCGCAAGGCCCTCGACCTTCTCCCGGCTGCCATCCTTGAGGGTGAATACCCCAATTAATGCCATTGTAGTAGCGGTCGCGAGCATCCTTGTATAGCCCCGGATCGTCCTCGGTGTAGTAGACGCAGCCGGCCCTGAGCTCCGGGTGCTCCCTCGTGGACACGCAGAAGGAACCGTTCCCCCCAATGAAGAGCGTTGTTTCGCCGATGTCGTCCGTCACCTTCCACTCCTTGCCGCCGCCACCGAGGACCTGCACCTTGAAGGATGGAGACGTCCGCCGACCCTCCTTGAGCACGACCATCAGCGGCCCGCCCGGCGCCGCCATTAGGTACTTGCGGTGCTCGGTGTCGGCTGGCAGCCTCGGCGAGATCACCACACTTGCGAACACACCTGGGTCATCGGCGCCGCACTCATCCCATGCCTCTACTTCGCCGAAGTATGTGATCGAGTAGAACCTGCCATTGTAGTGGATGGCATCCTTGACGCCGTTGCGTGAGTGCACCAGACTTCACTTCCCGGACGCAGCTGTGGCGACGGGCTCAACTCCGTCGCGCGGGAGCGCAAGCCTCCAGGAGCCCTACAGAGCAGATAACAATATGGAAGGCAATGGCAAAGACCCCTGCTTCTATCGCTCTGGAGTACACATTTATCGCGGTTTGGTTTGTTGGTGGCCTCTCAGTGTTTCACTTGTATCTCATGAGCACTAACCAGGTAAATGCTATTCTGTGAAATGGTATATTCCCAGTCTTGCATCGTGATTCCATTCTGTCAGTTGCTAACCATTGTTGCCATTTACAGCTGTTGCAAGTTGGGGTATAGGAAAAACAGCAGGGGGGGTTTCTGCAAAAGTGCGTGCGCTGACCGGTCCGGCAACCTAGCTGCCAATTGTCGAGTTGTGATTGGCTTGAGACTAAATCATCACATGAGGTGCAAGTTGGGGTATGGTGGAGTCAAATTTTGCAAGTTTGAAACTGAATCATCACATTCTATGCAAGTTAGGGTACCTGGGATGCTATTAACTCTCATATTAACGTGTTGCGGGCTTCCCGTCAGCCTTTTTGTTTGCACGACTGTAATTGGGCTGGCATTTTGGGTTTGTGGAGCGGCTTTCCGTCGGCCGGGTTGGTGTCAATCGATCTTTCTAGCTGGCGTCAAAGACAAAATTTATTAAGCATGCTAATTGAAACGCTGAACTCCACTGGTGTTAACTGACACCAGTGGTTGTACGTGAGCTCCGTTCCTGATTGTACGGAGCCACCCACCTCAATGGTGATTTTCTTTCTTTCTTATTTTTGAGGCTACGTCAATGCTGTCCTAAGAAAAAAAAGCTATTGTGCATGTGAACACTCAGTTTTTTTTTCGAACACCCAGCTGACACGCGAGAGAGGGGGCGGCTAAAGGGCGAAATCACTAATTAAGGAGTACTCGTTGCAAAGAACACTTCACTTTCCCAGGTCGCGACAAGTGGCGCACATGCAGCGCGCCACTTGTCGCAATCGGGGAGTTTTCCCTTTTTTCGTAGATCCGTTTATTCAAAACGTTTTATCTCTTAAACCGTGCGTCCAAATCTCGAACCGTTTTCACCATTGGATTCCTCGCGTCGAGATCTTTAAAATTAGGTCCCATTTTGATAGGTTTTGACGAACTTTTTTTTCACGAAAAAAACCGGGCGAAAAAACCGAACCGGAAGCACGGTTTTTTCCCTTTCCAAAGGAGGCACGCCCGTGCCTCTCGCGAAATCACAACCGTGTCTCTCGTGGAAGCAAAATCGTGACTCTCGTGGAAGGAAAAAAACAGAAAACGCGTTTTTTCCGTTTTCGAGAGGCACAATTGTGACTCTCGCGAAAGCACAACCGTGCCTCTTGCGAAAGCAAAACCGTAACTCTCGTGAAAGAAAAAAAAGAAAATGCGTATTTTTTCCCTTTCCGAGAGGCACGGCCGTGACTTTCGCGTAAGTACAACCATGCCTCTCGCGGAAGCAAAACCGTAACTCTCACGAAAGAAAAAAAACAAAAAACGCGTTTTGTTTTTCCCTTTCCGAGAGGCACGGCCGTGCCTCTCGGAAAG